ACTATACTATACTATACTATACTATACTATACTATACTATACTTATACTTATACTTATACTTATACTTATACTTATACTTATACTTATACTTATACTTATACTTATACTTATACTTATACTATACTATACTATACTATACTATACTATACTATACTATACTATACTATACTATACTATACTATACTATACTATACTATACTATACTATACTATACTATACTATACTATACTATACTATACTATACTATACTATACTATACTTATACTTATACTTATACTTATACTTATACTTATACTTATACTTATACTTATACTTATACTATACTATACTATACTATACTATACATTACTATACATTACTATGCTATACTATGCTATGCTATGCTATGCTATGCTATGCTATGCTATGCTATGCTATGCTATGCTATGCTATGCTATGCTATGCTATACTATACTATACTATACATTACTATACTATACTATACTCTGCACTGCAATGCACTGCACTGCACTGCACTGCACTGCACTGCACTGCACTAGGCTACACTATACTATACGATACCATACTACGTATACTGAACTGTGCTATATTTCTATACCATTATTTATTATTATTATTAAAATTTTCAATATAATTTCTGTATTATTTTGACTATCGTACATATATTCATGAATGCTGTTGATGTCATTGCATTTCGCATCGTTTTATTTCTATTTGTTTCTATACTGTTTTGTTTTCGTTTCATTTCGGTTCGGTTTCGAATTATTTCGTTCTCTCAATAGCGGTGGATGTCGGGCACATGAATAGACATGATATAGAGAATAGACGCCTATAGAGTTACCTGTGCGGTCCGCCCGTACATCGATCGCGTGCAAGTATGTTTGTCGCAACCTGTCGTCTGCGTCGCCGGCGCGCTAGCACGAGTCTCCGCTGCTGCCGACACACACATTTCTATGCTAGTCGCGGTCACAGGCACTTGGAACGTCTCAATAAAAAAAATAATGGTAAATTAATACGAAATGTACCAGTCTTAATGTTTCTCTACTCTATTTCGCCTATAATCACCTGTAAATGCCGGTCAAATGCTCATCTGTAACACACATGTACAAGTACACCGAACGCCCGCCCGCGCTGTGCTGCGTGCACAAACAACATGAATAAGAGAGCTCTTTATATAGAGAGGCGTTAATATAGTAATGTTGCGATTAGCACTCTCGCGCGCACATTTCCTGAGCCGTTTTTTCCTTGAGCCAGATTGTTGTGGCCATCCAGTGTGTTTACGTACTCGATGATTAGCGGAACAGTAGCAATAATGTGTGTAACAACCTTATCTTGGAGTAATCATTCTGAACATAATGATCATAATGATTGCACCAAGCTTGTATTAACTGATATAGAAAACGAGAACCTCCTAGATAAGTTATATATGATTTTTTGTATTTCTATCTAACTTTTTTAACCGATTTTAAACCTTGAATGTACTGTTAACGTAACGTGCAGTGGAGATTGTCATCTTTTGATTCGGTAAATGATTGATATTTTTCCTGAGGTTTTATACCGGTATGGTGAGTCTACAATAGCTGCAACGCGGCACAGTACTGTGGTCCTATGTTGAGCTGTCGAAGACAGTATAATGCGTATCCTTAGCATGCATCTAAGGGTTTATCTATTCAAACATTTCGTCGCTAACTTGGTCTGCTCTTTTCAGCGTTAACCAAACATTCTATCTGTGCAGCACAATTTTCTAACCGCAATTCTGAGCAGCTGGAAGGTTGGGAACAAAACAAACAGATTGAGTGACGGAAGGTCGCTATATTGCCGCAAGAGTTAAACGCGGACACTGCGCATGCGCTCAGTCTATCCTTTCGTTTTCAGTGCGATTTGCGAAGTAAATTGCATCGTAGCGGGCGACGAAAGGGTACGGTTTCGGGTGATCTAATGATCGATACTGGGTTTTGTCACCACCTGCCACTGACGCTTCTACCGTACTTTCAGGCAAGATGCTTGCTCATAAGCTACGCATTACGAACCCGCAGGACTTTGCCCTCTACAGAATAGTAGACGGAATAGGTGAGTGTAGAAATCGAAACCAGCCGCCCCGTATATATATATATATATATATATATATATACTAGACATACGT